GAGATATTGCTTTCCCTGAAAGATGCTCCTATGATGACAGAAATTACAGTTGCTCATCACCTCTTATTATCAGAAACATTTAGAAAAAGGAACCAAACCTGTTGTGCCACTTCTTTCATTCCTTTTAGAACTTTAGGCATTTTATTATTTATGATGGAAGCAATGACCCAATCATCTGCAAGCTCCAACATGGTATAATTCTACCCCAAAAGCATATTACATAAAACTCTGTATCTCCATTACATATGAAAAATAATTATCAGAAAAATATGATAAGACTAAATCTTATTCATCTAGTCCCGAGTGCCACAACACACATTTCTGATCTATCAATGGACAGCAAATAAACCTGTATCAGAATAATAAAGAAATCCCACCTTGCACTGTGCACAGCACTGGAGCCAGCTCAAGCACACAAAATAAAAGCTTTCGTCCACTTACAGCATTTTCTGTTTGATACTGCTGTTAACAGACTACAACACAGAAGTTCCCTATGACAGCAACTCTTAACAGTCGATGAAATGTATTTTGTACCTTAAAGATTACAAATTAAATCACTTCACTATGAATCCCTGGGAAATGAAAGAGATTTAGGAGAATGGGACAGGACCTCAGCTCTTTAAGCAAGAAGTTGCATATCCAGGCAAAAATCTTCTGCTTGGATCCCTACCAGTGTAATACTGGTTTTTTACACGTAAAAAGAATATACCATTGTTAAATTAAACAACGCATTTTAGTTTGGGTTTGGGTTTCTTCTTCTGGGTATGTTACATGCTTGGCCACCAAACTTAATGGACATCTAATATTGGGATCCAACACAATAAAGGCTAAAATGTCACTGATGAGATTCTTGGGTTTTGTGAAATCATTAGCAATTGGAAAGAAACTACAATAGGTGTGTTTCACAACACACCTTATTGTTCTCTAGATGACGTAACAGTATTCATCCTGAAGTACATTACTCACTTTAGGAAATGAAGCAGAGTTTAATCTTGAAACTGTAAATTACTCCTGCCAACTGCAAAATCTACAGACTTCTGTTGCCTCCACTTCTTAAACATCTGAAGCAGCACTTCCAAATAAGAACTCATCTAAGCCAAATGCTGAAACTAGCCAATATTTCATATTCTCCAAGAAAGAGGAGCTTTCTGTCTGGAAGGCTTAATTGGACGAGATATGCTTTGAGGCCCTGAATAAAAGCTGAGCTCCTACAGACTGACTCCTAGCTAAGCCTCTTAACTCCTCAGTTTATCCACCTGCCTCCTCCAGAGCATTTTACAGAAGTGAAGCTATACAGGGTTATCTCCAGCCAGGGTGTCAGTCAAGACCATCTCATCCATTTTAGAGGGGCTATACCCATCTGCACCAGCTAGGAAGTTTACACACCGCATCTCTCTGCTAACTGGGCTTAATACTGATGTGCTCCAAAATCTCCCAAGTACAACCAAGAAAATACAGAAGCAGCTCCATCACACTGTTAAGACTGTTATGTGGCCCTGTTGATCTGAATGAATCTAAAGGAAATAAAATAGAAGGCAAGATTAAAAAACAAAGGGAGAGGGAACTGACCCTATGGTAGAGAGAGAACTGCTGTAAACAAAACCAACCAGAAAGGTTTCAAACAAAAGATGATTGAAGTAGAGCAAAAAAGAAAGAAGTGATCTAGCTCAGGTCAGGGAGAAAGAAAAAAATAAGAAAAAAGAGACACAAACAAATATTACCCAGACACTGGAACTGCTCATGGAAAACAGGAACAACTCCAAGCAAAGATCTTATCGTATAAGGTTACATTTAACTGTCACCCTCCTTAAAGCTAGCATGCTTAATCCACAGAAACAGGGTTTGTAATAAGCCTAGTTCATTATGAACAAGATAAAAGCTTTACCTACTTAGTGGCAGACTTTGTTCAAGTTCTCATAGGGGTTCACAGATGAACCACCTGCTGGAGACCACCACAGTGCTTATAACCACAGAAGATTTACCAAGATGAAATCTTACTTCCACAATGAAATACTTGAAGCAGTCAATTTCACTCAAAAAGAAACAGACTGTTGAGCACAGCAAGGCAAAAAGTAAAAGAGCATCATCCAACTGATTCTCCAGCTTGGAATTCATCACCTATGACTGCTTTGCCAGGAGTTTCTCACAAGAGTTTTAGCCTTGTTATGACCTATCTTAATGCTTTAGACAGCAAATAAATACTTTTATGAAAATCAAGATATAACATAACACAGAAAAATTACATCAGCAGGAATAAATGAGCACAGATTTAAAAATCTGAAGAAGACAACAGGAATTCCTTAAAATTCAGAAAAATAGCCTGGCAAAACTTTACTAATTTTGGCTCACAGCTCTTCTTTCTGTGTGCACTTACCTAGGTATGCTGACTTTGCACACAAAAATCAATTTTTACTGCTTTTTATTTCTATATGCACTATAGTGCCTAAAAAGCTATGACAATCTAAACTGGATTAATTTTTGGCTAATGCACCACGGACAACATTACTAAACCAATTCTACCTCTAATTCATTTCAGAAACCATGCTCTGGTATTTCATAAATGTTTTTCACTATATGTTTAATAATTCTCAAGTACTTCAGTGTTACCATTGACTCAGTGCCAAACAGAAGAGGCACAACTAGATTTCAAAGCTCTTTCAATACTAAAATGCTCTTGCAAGGCATACGGCTAAAAGGGGGAAGACAAGGTCCAACTTACAAAGTTTGAAATTTTAGGACCAGAAAAGAATGGCATTCTTACTAAGACACTTTTACAATTAGGCTAAAATTATATGTATGTATCTATATACATATACTTACTGATGAGAGTGCACTGCAAAACAAACCCCAGGAAAGTCAGGTTACGGAAAGTTTGTTGTACTTTTAAAACAAAGTTGTTAGATTGTTACAACAATCTCACACGTGGTTTCAAACTGAGGGAGAAATAAGTATTGTGGAAAAAAAAAAGTCTACACAGGGTAAGAAACACAACACTAGCTCATGATATATTATTTGTATAGGTGATAAAATCTTTAGAAATATGAGAGTTAATCAAGTCTGAATTATTAATTAAAACAATTTTAGCATAGAACTGCTGCAGCAGAAACACGAGCCTATTCCCTCCTTGAATATACTGCTCCCATAATGAGGTTTATACATGGCATGTAATTTCTCAGAAACTTTGTACAGAGCCCAGGAAATGCATGAACCCATCATGAGTAGAACATATGGATTAAACCAACTCACCGTCAGCATAGCTCTGTGACATATGTCACTCACTGTGACTTCTGCACAGAAAGAGATTGAGCTTGTTTCTACATTCATATTACAGGCTTGATTTAGTTGCCTATACCTAAGTGTGCTTGCCCATCTGAGAGGCCCTTGGAAGGTCAAGATATCATCAAAGGTATGGCAGATATGACACAGGACTGGTGGAAAGTCTGTATCTGTCCTGACTGGAAACCAGAATAACTGAAGTCATCTCAAATGGCACTGGATACCCATGTGGGGCGATCTAAACTGAGCTTCTACATGAAAGTCAGCTCCAGACTGCAAACACAGAATGGTACGGGCTGGATGGGACCTTAAAGATCATCGAGCTCCAACACCCCTGCCATGGGCAAGGACACCTTCCACTAGAACAGGTTGCTCAAAGCCACATCCACCCTGGCCTTGAACACTTCCAGGGATGGGGCATTCACATAGGGATATCTTACACCACATAGGCAGCAGATGACTAGATGGGAGTTGAGTGTCAAGCACCCATTACTGGTCTCAAGAGAGCTACTGACTTCATTTTGAGGCCATCTCCTGCACCTCACCACCTGAGCATCTCCCCTGATTCCTCTGACTCTATGGACTAAACTCCCACTGACTGCCAAGCATGGACAACAAGCTCACACTACAGAGCCTGAAGTCAAGTTCCTAATCACAAGCCAAATTCCACCCTAAACCTAGCTTGGATGACTACCAACATAGGAACCACAGTTTAGCCTACCTAACTTAAGGCAAATGAGCTGAACTAAATATTGCTAGGACAATAATCACTGTACAATCTTTTATAGTTGATGTAAAGACAGCTGCCTGCAGAGGCTGATTCTGTTAAATACCTGATTTTGGATAATACTAATCCACAGCTACCCAGCTACTCATACCCTCCAAAGCATACAGGAACATGCTCCATCTTTTAAGGATGGCTGTAGTTAGCTTATACAGCCATATGCTCATATTGTCATTAGATTTATTCCTTTCTCCTGTCACCTATATTGTTCATTTGCTGCTTCTTTCTTAGCAAGTTATAAACCTTAACATCCTACCTTAACCACTTTCCTCAACAACACTCATTACAATCTTAATAGGACCCTGGGTGGTAAAAAAGTAAAAATAATGCTGGTTGATATTTATTTAGAACGAAATTTAGCACATCCAGCTATAATTCTACAAGTTCACTGGCACCAAACAGCCATCGGATAGATCCCAGTCCTTGGAACTACTGAGAGCCTAACAAAGAAGTGCTAGCAGTCATGTTACAGCTCTTCTTGTCTGTCCTATGCTCAGCAAAGTCCTGATAATACATTAGATGTGGATAAATATGCTTCTAAAAATTTATAGCACCATAATAATTTTGACTTTGCAAAAGAACAAAAGCATCATTTTTCAAATCTTGATAAGAGACACCAACAGTAAAGTTTACGTCAATGTTTTCTTGCCACGAGGTTCACTGTTTTAAGCAATGGATAAAAACTACCAAGTTTAAAAGACACGAGTTATGCAGGGTAAGAAAAGGATAACAAAGGAGAACAGTTTAAAACATGCATGAGCAGAAAAAAAACCCAAACAATTGTTAGCATTTAATGGAGGAAGATTTGCATATATAGAAAAAAAACTTGCATGTGTGCCATCTGTGGAGCTTGCTAAGTTGTGAAAAACACCAAACACAAATGAAATACCAGACCAAAAATGGTAACTTACTAGTAAAGAAAATTAAAGAATAAGATTACCTTGTTCCAATCTGAAGCACAGGGAACGTTTTGCAGCCTCTATCTCAGGACTTGGATGATCCAGAACACGCCTGCACCACTGCAGGGGACTCAGTGATTTCTCTTGCGGAGTGAGAGTCTTGGTAGGCAAGATATACAACCTTAACCAAAATACACACAAATATCAGGAAGATACACAACACTCCAAAGTTTACTTTTGTATTCCCACTTTCCTGCCTGCTAACAATGTGTAACAGTGCAAACGCCGGCAATATGATCTAATAACGAAAGATATTCCAAAGTAGAAGAGTTTTCACTAGTTTGATTCCTTCCCCTCTGAAAAACTGATGGCAAAATATGAACTCTATAGGTCTGGCACATCAAAACAAAGTTCAAGCAGATTTCTCATGAAAAACTTCCATCTCCTCTTTCTGAAAATCTAAACTTGTTTTCATCATCTGAATTTCAGCCCTGCCCAAAGTTCCAATGCACTAGGTGATGTACATACACCAAAGGAGCTGTCAGTTTTCCCTTGCAGATTTAACTTTACTGGAGATTAGATAATTTCAGTATTGGATTTCACATTTAAATCACAATTTCACTGTTAACTATTTCCCTCTTTTACGTATAACAATTTAATCAACTTGTCAGAGTGTTGCCGATATTCACACACAGTATCTTGTCTCAGATGAATCAAATGTTGCACAAATCACACTTTTAGAGATTAGAAAACATTTGCTGAAAAACAATGAAAATCCAATTTTGATATTCAATTCCAGCAGGAAAATAAAAATAAGGAAAAAAAGCTAGCATATATGTGCTATTCTCAGACAATAGTAGGCGGCTAATCAGATGGTCAAGCACATGAGGAAGCCAGGTATCAAATCGGGGAAATTCTTGAAGCTGGGCTCTGTGTTGCCGCTGTTGTCTTTGTAGATTAGTGGGCACAAGCAGATGCTGGTTCACCTGGGGGAGAGCAGGTCTCCCAGGAAGGAAACTATTCTTGGCTGCTGGAGACTCCTTGCAGCTCCCTGGCCTGACCACTTCGGATTACATCGATGAGGCTGCAGTGAGAGGAAGTTTTCCAGGTACCAGGAAAACACTCCACAGGCTGCAAAGGAATCTGGCCTGCACACAGTGGAGCAAAAGGCAACACCTAAAAAAACCCAAGGGATTAGCGCCTCAGAGGAACACTAACAGGTAGCAGCCTTTCACTTTCAGGGTTTTGGCTCAACAGCTATGCAAATCCCCCGACAGCAACTGCTCTCCACCGTCTGATCAATGGGTTTGGGGTTTTTATCCCTTTGAAGTCAATCAGCACTCTATCCAGCTCACAAGGAATAAACATCCTTGCTGTGATTGCTATCTCTCTCAGCAATCCCAGCAGAGATCAACTACTGAATTTCTCCAAGGAGAGGACTCATTTCCCCCGACTTCCAGCAGTGCCTGGCTACGTTATTTAAAAAAAAAAAAAAAACTGAGAAAAAAGAAAAAAAGGCAAACCAGAAAAGCTTTCATCTTCCCCGTTAACCTGCAAAAGTGCTTCAAAAGCTGAACAACTGAGTTCATGTGAAAAGCTGAACAGCAAAAATAGGTTGGATTTGTCTGGAACGATGCTAATTCTACGGGTTTTTTAACTGCACAGGTATTCAAGGATTAAAATCACTGATAAACAACTAGGACTGAGTCATCGGCCTCTGGCTTTCCAGATCGCAGTTTGCTTTAAAGACTGGCATTACAAACAAACTCCAAGCAGCTAGCATCACACGGCTGACCTTTCATGGACAATGACAGCGATTTAGCCTTGAAATTAAAACGTTCAACAGCTAAAGCAACTCACTCTTAGTGGAATAAACTGATTAACAAACCCCTGCCATTAAATCCTTCCTGTGGACACACAGTTGTGCGATATGAAGGTAAGTTTTGCCCCACCCCACCCCCACCCCTCAAGCATTTAGGATTGCTTCCAGAAGTTGAAAGGAATAGGAAACTGATGGAAATTATAGGAAATTGTTGGAAAAATAGGATATTGTACTAAGGCACATAAAATAACAATGACTTTCCACCAGCCTGAAATGTAAACAGGGAAAAAACATTTTGCTTAACAGGTCAGGACCAAACGAGTTTAATATTTCTTAACGTGAAGGAAAGTTATGGGTTAGGGCTGATGTAAAATTTGGTTCGAGTCTGGACTGACAACCCCAGAACAGCCCTGTGCAGACTAACACTACGCACAATGAAACAACAATGGCACGAATTTCCATACTTGTTGATGACTCTCAAAAGCAATTTTCCAAAGCTGCAGCATGGTATTATTTGTATCGTGAAGTACAGACCATGAACACTCAAAAAATATTTATGCTATTTAGCTTAATTTTTAAATCCTTTCTCTTCTGCCAAAAATAAGGATGCCAAATGCATCTCAGAAGTGTTACACTGTATTTTATTTCCAGGTGACATACATTTCAGCTCGATTTGAAAACTAACCACATAATAACCTACCTTAAAGCTTTGACAGATCCTTAGAACAGTTCTTTAAATATAGCTTATCCATAATTTATAACTGACACTTTAGAACAACAGAGCACCAATTATGTTTAACATGGTTACGCAGCCAACGATTTCTATAGCATTCCAGCAGTGTCCCTACAATGTTTGTCCACGTTACTGACAAGTCTCGAGGCACCAGGTTTATTTGTCTCTATAACTTCCCCCCCTATTTGTTTTCAAGACAGCCCAATCATTCCTCTAGGTCGATTTTATTTTCTGTTTTATTAATTCGCCATTCATTTCTGCTTTATCCAATTTCCTAGCACCCAGCCGAGCCTTTTGGAGATACATGGGCGTCTGATACACAACCAACCATTAGATCAATGTCTAAAAGACAAAAGCCCTCCCAAATCTCTGAAGACAGGAGACAACTGGGCAGATTTTAGGATGGGGAGGCAGCCACTGTTCTGATAAAGGCTTTCCCAGAACAATTCCTGTATTTTTAATTCCTTATGTAAACAGGAGGCTGAAACTAGACTGAGATCTGAAATTATAGAAAAGCGATCTTTCTCCAACTGGGGCAACAAGCACTGATCCCCTACCGACAGCGAGACGGGGCGGCAAACGCCCAGCCTGAACCTCATCACGGACACGGGCCCTCCCGCCAGGCGGGTACCGTACTGATGACACGTTTTAGGGGGAAAAAAGGCAGATTTAACTTAAGCAGAACCAGATCGGGTGGATTACTTGGGGGCTAACGCTAAGCGGAGCCAGGGGAGCGCCCGCGGGGTGCGCGCTGCGGGGGCTCCGGCCGGGGTCCGAAGTGCGCAAGCGGGGCGGGGCGCGCCGCATGTACCATGTATCCTCGTCCTGTCCGTAGCAGCAGTCCTCCAGCTCCAGCACCGCCACCTCGTCCAGCACCGTGGTAGCCGCCGCTGCAGCTGACCCCGGACCGCCGCCAATGTCCTGGCCCCCGCCGCCGGCGGCTGGCAGGCCGAGCGTGGGCTTGAAATAGGCGAGCGGCTCCGGCGGGCCCAGCACGGCGGCGCACAGCAGGGTGGGCACCGGCCCGGGCAGGCACGGCGCCGCCGCGTTGGCCGCCGCCGAGGGAGGACTGGCAGGGCGCAGCCCGCCGGGGGCCCGCAGCAGGTGCGGGCTAGGCGGGCCGGTGGCGACCGCGACCGCGGCGGCGGCGGCAGCGCGGCTGCGGAGCTGCTCGTTTTGCTTCTCCAGCTTCCGCACCAGCTCCTGCAGCTTCTTCACCTCCAGCTCGGCGCTGACGGCGGAGCCCGCGCCGCTCCCTTTCACCTCCGCCATCATCGCCGGCTTCAGCAAGGCAGCCTCCATCCCGCCGTCGGCACCACCGCTACCGGCACCTGCTCCGCCGCGCCGCCGGAGGGCAGCGCCCGGCCCCCGCGGGCGGCGGGAGCGCCGGGAGTCGCCGCGCTAGGGGCCCTGCCCGGCGCCGAGCTGCCCGACCCGCTCCGCTCCGCAGCAACTCCTGCGCCTGCCGTCAGCGGCGGCGAGGACGCGGGTGGGATCCCCTCATCCCCTCCCACTCGGGCAGCCGGAGCGCCGCGCACACGCACACGGCGGGAACAAAGAGGCGCCCGGCTCCCTCGCCATCGGCCCGGGGGAAGGACGGCGGGGCCACCTCCCTAGGGAGCCCCGCGGGCAGCCCCGGGGCCGGCTCAACGCCCATCATTAAACAAAGGTGCCGTCCCCGGACCCCGCCCGCGCGCTGGAGCTGGCCCAGGGCGCTGCTCCTCCCGTGAGCCGCGTAATTAGAGCCTGGTGGTGCCAGGGTTGTGATTATGCAGATTGGAAGTGTGATGGGAATGGGAATCACAAATAGAGGCTTTGTTGGGCTTGAAAGGAACGAATTCGGCCAGAAGCAGACGTTCAGGAGCTTGAAACATGCTGATTCTAGGAATTTTGATTCTTAGCGGGGAAAGCAATGTATTTTTGAAGCTGGTGAAGCCAGGACTGAGCCAAGCACAGCAGAAAACTACGCGATTATTTATGTGTATGAGAGGGATTTTTTTACAGGGACATGTAGTAATGGGACAAGGGGGCATGGCTTTAAACTGGAAGAGAGGAAATTTAGGTGTTAGGAAGAAATTCTTCACTGTAATGGTGTCAAAACACTGGAATGGGTTGCCCAGAGAAGTTGTGGATGCCCCATACCTGCTGGTGTTCAAGGTCAGGTTGGATGGGGCAACCTGGTCTAGTGAAAAGTGTTCCTGGCCATGGGAGGGGGATTGGAACTAGATGATCTTTAAGGTCCCTTCCGCCACAAACCATTCTCTGATTCCATGACCTGTGAGATGGCGTCATAATTGAAATTTGAAACAGTCCAGATACACAGATGGGTTTGCCATGTTCCAAGTCTTTGGGAGGAGAAAGAATGACCTTCCCTCATGCTAGTGTTTTTACGCTGTCCTTCATTTCTCAGTATTCAGAGAAGCCATTGCTTGTCCCCCTTCCTCCCACCCAGCAGGTGAGCAAAGATTCAGTGTTGCCCAAGGCGGTTCAGCCATCACATAACCCTTGCTGGGTTCATTTCCCCTAGCTCCAACTACAGGCCACAACCTCTTTAAGTTACTGTCCTGAAGCTTCCGAGAGCTCTGATATAAAATAGGAAACAAATCTCCAGGAGGTGTGTAAGCTGCTCAGCCAACCACCACACACTAATAATAGCTATCTGTTTGTTGCTGCCCAGTTCATGAGCATCAGCTTTAGGCAGAGTAGTAGCAACAACAGCCACCACTGCCTTCACTGTGCTTCGTCTCTGGCTCAGGTTTCTGGTGTAAGGAGGAACAAACACGAATTCTCTCTTTGGAGCATAAATCAACTTTGAAGTCATCCAGCTTGTCACAGTTTTCTGTCTTGTTTATAGCTGGGAACCTTTCTTCTGCACTTGCACAGGACAATGACACTGTTGTTTGTCAGTCTTTTAAGTGTTCTTACAGTGCAGATAATAGTAACTGCTACTACAGGAATGGCTGGAAAGGAAGATAGACCAGGGCACAAAGTGCTGACTTCCAGATAATGCAGCTTCTGTCACTGAAGAGATTAAGTACATCCAGCAGTGTACTACAGTACCAATCAAATAGTGCTTAATCCAGAACTTTTGTTGAATCTCCTCTGTCCATTTGGAAGAAAGGAATAGAAAAATATTGAGAATATAAAAACCGTCTGACCCCACATGCTGGATTTGACTGGGTTGGAGTTGATTTTCTTCACAGTAGTCGGTATGTGACTGTGTTGTGCATTAGTGCTGGAAACCTGATAACGCAGTAATGTTATAGTTACTGCTGAGCAGTGCTTACACAGAGTCAAGGTGTTTTCTGCTCCTCACCCCACCCCACCAGAGACTAGGATGGGGGCGCACAAGAAGTTGGAAGGGGACACAGCCAGGACAGCTGACCCCAACTGACCAAAAGGATACCATATAGTGTTATGCTCAGCATGTAAAGCTCGGGGAACAAGAAGGAAGTGAGGGACATTTGGAGTGATGGCGTTTGTCTTCCCAAGTAGTCATTATGCATGATGGAACCCTGCTTTCCTGGAGATTGCTGAACACCTGCCTGCCCATGGGAAGTGGTTCTTTGTTTTGCTGTGCTGGTGTGTATGGCCTTTGCTTTCCCCATTAAACTGACTTTATCTCAATCCACAGGTTTTTGTACTTTTACTCTGATTCTCTCCCTCATTCCAATACATGAGTGAGCAGCTCTGTGGGCTTAGTTGCCAGGTGGGGTTAAACCACGATACCTCAATTCTACTGTGTGTCATCAGAGTGAGTATCATAATCCTGTTTTCACTACTACAGATAGTTGTAATCTGTATTCCCATAAGTGAAAGTAAGAATTGAGTTTGTACATCTTTAGCCCCAGGCAAAAGTGGGCTGTTATCACTAATAGTGATACTAGCCTTAATTCTTAGAAATGCATAAACTAATCCAGTAAGATTGTAAAGTGATACAAATTACGAGCAGCACATGTAATAATAAGTTTATTAGACATCAGTAATATACAATTAAAAAAAAAAAAGAAGAAGTTTATGACAACATCAGTGCTGAATGATGCAAGGAGGCGCAGGAAATACTCAAATTCAACATGGAGAGATTACTTTTTCTCTTTGAACCAGGCAAGCAGAGTTATTTAGTAGGCCAATAAAAAAGAAAAACAACAAACAAGCCAACCAGGAAATGGGTATCATCTGATTTTTTTCAATTGCCAGAACAGTGTGGTCAGGATATTGCATGGTTTAAAAAAATCTAATGCAGACACCAGTTTGGAGAAACACAAATTATTCTCCTCCCAGTGCTGACACTACTAATGAATTGTTAATGAGCTCCATTCAGTATCCCAACACTAACTATGAGTTGGATCAACCGAGACTTCATGAGCTTTTTACAAACCGCAACAAAGGCTTGATGGTTCAATTTATTTTTTTAAGGCATTGATAAAATCTGTTTAACACCAACCCCAAACATCCTAATGTGCCCATGGAACCTGTCATTCCTGGACCCGAGAAATTAGTAGATCTTTACTGGTCCAGGATGCTACTTACATGATATGCTATAGTAGAAATTTCTGAATCAGTATAGTTACTAATAGGCTCCCAATGCAGAGAACAAAGAAGCAGGAAGTCTACAAATCCCATCTGCTCTTCTCTGATAATAAGCCTGTTGCTTTATGCTGCAATAGCTGCAGGCTGGACCTGCCTTTCAGGCAAGCCAGTAAAGAATTAATTGCAATAATCCAGTCTGGGTTGTACAAAAGATGGGTTACAATAAGGTCAGAGCACGGACGGTAAATTCAAGTCTGGTGAGATTATTTTAAAGCGCAGTGCCAGTCTGAAAAATGACTGTGAAAGTAGTTTTATAAAAATAGAGCCACAACCGTGCCAGCAGAAGTTCATCTAGTACAGTATTCTATCTTTAACAAAGGCTGATAGTAGCTTCATAAGGAAAATAAATGAGAAACAAGAAAAATATTGGGGATTTTCTCCAGCCTTCTGAAGTTCACGAATTGGGACATCTGGACCATTTATTTTTGATAGCCACCAATGTGTAATAATATTGCATTTGCTGAGCCCCATTTTTAAACCATTGAAACACTGGGACTCTACAACACCCTGTGGCAATTAGTGCTGCGATTTAATTACGTATTGTAAGAAAAACTGCTTCCTATTATCTGTTTTAAATCTGCTGCCTAGTAATTTAATTGGATGTCCCTTCATTCTGGTTTTCTGAGAAAGACAGAATGATTAATCATTCTCTATTCAGCTTCTCTTTGTCATTCGTGACTATATAAAACTCCGTTACTTCTCTTTCAGGCTGACAAGCCCTAATTCATATAGCCTTGCCCCCACAGAAGTCGGGCTGAACCTCCCATTATTTCCTATCTCCCTCCATAACAAAACCTGAATTTTCTGACCCATTGTTTCCTTTCTGTTAATACTCCATGTTGTCATAACTTAGGGAAAGACTGTGTCAAAAAATTCTTGTAAATCCAAATATACTCAGATAAAGAAAACAGCGTAACCAGAACCATATTGGTTCCTTCCGAAACACTCATGTATTCATGAGCATACCTTGCTTTAAAAGAGCTGTATGGACTGTCCTCCAACATATCCTACCTATCCAGATGCCTCTGTATTCTGTTATGTATTATAATTTGTACAAATTGGCCTGATTGATAGAAAATCAGACTAACTGCAACGTAGTTCCCCAGAGCAGCTTTCATGTTTCTCAAAACTGATGTCCCAGCTGATGCTTCCAGTTTGTTTGGCACCAAGCCTGCTTTGAGTGATAGGGTAGATCTCTGTGAGAAGTTCAATAATGTCACATGTGAGCTGTTGTAGAGTTTTTGCACAGATACTACCAGGCCCTAGCAATTTGTTTTTCCTAATTTTATAAATTTGCTCTGAAATATTTGAGCAATTAACATTTTCCTGGAGTTATAGCATGGATTTTCATTCTCCATGTCTCTTGCAAACATTTTGACTTCTTAGCTATTGCTAATTTCCTCTTAATTGACTTTCTCTTTTTCATATAGTTTCTTTTTTTTAAACTACCATTATTCCTTCTGGCGTTTTCCTTATTGAATTAATATTAAATTGAAGTACATTGTAATCACCATTAGGATGGATTTTTCTATAGGATCAAATCTAAAATTGTGTCATTTTCAGTAAGCCCCGGTTGCTCCAGAAAATCAGCATTTGTGGTATCCAGAGATATTGCCCATGCATTAAGCTTAGGGTCTGCCTAGATTGACCTAGGGTCAAACTAGGCAGAACTATCCTTGGCAGCTCTAATCCAATGCATTCTTATTTTATTTTGAATCATCAATTCTGTATCAAATAACTCTGGCTTTCAAATGCATTAGTAGCTTCTCTTCCTCATAGACAGAAAGCATCAACCTGAATCTTACAAATCAGGATGGCCTGTTTCATTGTAGTGGGTCTTCATCAAGAGCAAAGACTAATTATGATTTAAAAGTAGCTTAAACATTTGCATTGCCTCCACTATACGAGTATATTGGAGAGTATAATTTGGTTCACAGAACCTTACTGCTGATGAATAAGAAGGAGAAGGTGGAGGGGGAGATGTGAAGTTCAAGGTTGTTAATAAATGAGCTGTTAATGTTAAAGGTTTTGAAATAGCAGCTTCTCTCCAGGAGGCTAAAAATCCATGACACACATTTTGCCAGGAATCCAGATTTCAGCTTGATTTGTCTCCAGG